AGCCACATACTGCTCCAACTAGACCATACAGTCTAAAGTTTCCAGAGCCTTCCAAAATAGTACCACCAGCTGGGAACCTAGTGTTCAAACACAAGCATGTGAACAGGAATTCTAATACTCTTAAAGCCTGAGTTTCCTGATGTGTGATACAGAAATGAAATACTGTACCTGGCATACATAGCTATGAGACTTAAGTCTGATAATCTCTGTAAAATGTGAACCAGGGATCAAGGTTGTAGTTATTTTCTCAATGGGTGTCAGCGCTCATTACGCATGCTGTTCCTGTCATGCATCTCCCTTCATTTTCACAGCACTTAGATAAAAGAGCAGAGCACAGGACTTGCATCAGAGATCTGGCATCAGGGATTTGCATCTATGATACAGACAGTGGATAGGGGAGCTGAGAGGCAGCGAGAGGATGGTTTAGGTGAGCAGCAGTGGAGGCCAGCCATAATGAGGCTGGGAAGGTTGAATCAGGTAGAGAAGGGAAATGGGGGCCTTCTGCAGAGGAAGAAGCAGTGTAGTGGGTGGCCAGTGTAAGAATCTTTCAGATATGGTGGGTGATAGACTTTATGAGAAAGTGATGAAGCTGAGGTCCAGCTTCTGAGCACTGGGATGGTGGAAGTGGTCAACCCGGCACGAAGGTCATTGGGATCACAGATGTCATGGAAATAGATTGAGGCTGATGAATCATAGTTCATGGTTTGTTTCTCACAAATGTCTTTACTGTAGTGATGTCAGATGTGGTGGTGAAGAGGTTCTCACAGCCAAATTGCATCGTATCTTCTAGGGGAGTGACAAGGCTAGCAGAGCAGTACAGAGACGTGACTGAGCAGCAGAGTGGGAAGCCATGATGAGCACCACAGATAGTGAATAGTTGATTTTACTTAATCAACTCGACATAATCTGGAATCTGACAGGAAAGGCCTCTGAGAATATCTGTGAGGGATTGTCATTATGTTTTGGTTGATGTAAAAATCTCACTCTGGGCAGCACCGTTACCCGGGCTTGGGGGACCTGGACAGTATCAGTGTAACAAAGGGGCTGAGCACTGGCATGCATGTATAAATGCATTGCTCTCTGCTCTTGGCTGAGGATGTAATGTGACCAGTTCTGTCAAGCTCCTGCAGCCTTGACTTCCTTGCAGTGATGGACTGTAACTTGGAATTATGAGTCAAATAAACTTTCTTACTTGGGTTCCATTTGTCAGGGTATTTTATCATAGCTACAGGAAATGCAACTCAGACACCCATCTGTCAGGCACCCACCCTTTAGTTAACTATTGGGCAGCAGAGGTATCCTCCTTCTGCAGTACTCCCAGGACAGAATGTGGTGGTGAAGAGATAATATGATTCCAGGAAGGCTTCAGTGAGAAGCACAGAACTGAGAGGCAACGACTCCTCATTCTTTCAGAGATCATGACATCCTGTTCAGGTTGTTCTACACTGATTCCTAGACTTGGTTGAAACATCAAAAACAGAGGGTAATGTCTGTCCAGTGCAGAGAAAAGTTGCTGACATGTTGAAGACAGGAGAACCAACCGAAGTTCATAGGCCAGCTACCCTGCAGCACAGCATGGCAGCAGAAACAAGAGAGACCATGCCTCAACACAGTGCAAGGCAAGATTCCTGGCAGTTTTCAGACCTCCACGTGCAGGCCTTGGCATAGCAAGTGCTCTCTCTCTGTCTCTCTCTGTCTTTGTCTCTCTCTGTCTCTGTCATACACAAAGTAATTTAATTTTTAAAATATTTTATTTATTATTTTTATTTTTTTTAATGTGTATGTGTGTATTGCCTGCATATGGGTAGGTGCACCCATGTCGTGCGGTGCCTGTGGACATCAGAAGAGGGTGTTGGATGCCCTGAAACTGGGGTTACAGACGGTTGTTAGCCACCATGTGGGTGTTGGGAACCGAACCTGGGTTGTTTTGTAAGGGCAACCAGTGCTCTTAACTGATGAGCCATCTCTCCAGGCCCAGTAATTTTTAAAAATTATTGACCTTGGGAAGGAGTCAACCTAAAGGTGCCAGCCTGACAGCGTTATGAGTATTTTTGTCACTTGTAATTCAATGGCAGCTCACCTTACTTTTGAAGCCCAACTTGAAGATTTCTTTTTTTTGTCTAAGATTGGGATACAGTGTGTTGAACACTGTGTTCTGCTCTTAAAACATTCCTTCATTCCATAGCAACAGTCTAAAAAACACAGGTTTTGCACTGGAATGGTTTCTACATGGTTTCCACATCTTGACTGGATTTAGAATCTCCTAGGAGATGCACCTATGGTTGTATCTAGGGACCTCTTGAATTAAGGATTAGCTGAGGAGGAAAGAAGCTTCCATGGACATGGGTTGTACTATATTATGGAACAAGAGCCCAGATGGTATAAAATGGGAACAATGAGAAAGCCAGATGAGTGCCAGCATTCCCCCATCTCGGCAGCCTCATGGTCTGCCACCACAGTCACCTACCTCTCTCCCCACTGTTAGCCAGAATAAATCTTCCCTCCCTGTAGGTTACTTTAGTTAGGTATTTTCTTTTCACAACTATAAGATAAGTAACTAATACAGACAGTGGGTGCAGAGAAGTGTGGTTGATACTGCGATATATATAATCATATTCATAAGCCTTTGGAACTGGCCTGTGGGAGCCATGAGAAGAGTTTGGATCTGCAGACAGGGGAAGCTGTATAGTGCTCTAAGCAGAGCTTAATGGGCCATTCTGGTAGGAATGTAGAAGGCCGTGATGCTAAGACAGATGTGGACTGAAGTCTGGCTCATGAGGTTTCAGAGAGAAACAAAGATTCTATCAGGAATTACATCAGAGTGTGTTCAGGCTGCATTTTGGGGGGAAAATATCTGACTGCATTTTGCCCTGTTCTAAAAATCTGAATGAGGCTAAACGCAAGAAGTGCTGGGCTAAGTCATTTGGCAGAGGGTAATTAAAAACCGCAGAGCATTCTGGCCTTGCCATAGTTATTGTGTGCTGAACTTCACCAGATCTGTAGTAAGAACTCAGAGCAGAAAGTGGAGCCAAAAGACATGAAAAAAATGAGCCTGTTGTGCAGGGAAGGCGTGTGAATCAGGTTAAAGTTCTGGACTGACTTGGACAAAGAAGCTGTAACTGTTAAAGATAATAGTGCCATTTTTAGTGATGAAGTCCACTTTGCAACCAGCGCTGCCTTGAGGGCAAGATTCCACCTGTAGAAAGTTTGAGGATGTAAAACTAAACAGTTACATTTCAAAGAGAGTCCTTCAAGAAAGAGCTTCCTGGATCCTGCTTTAACAGTGTGATCTAGGAAGTAGTTTCCAAGGTTTAGAGGTTCCCTGAGGCTACTACAGTTGTGTTCCTAGAGGAACAGACCAGTAGGCAGCATCATTCTTGTGGTGCTGGTTTTGTAGAGTTACAGCAAGGCTCTGGAAAGCCACTGATGTCAGGCAGTGTGTAGCTTGGTTAGATTCCTGTATGGAGTGTCTGAGGGACCTGTGTATGAAGCTGTGAAATGAAACCTATCTTACAGTAGATACCCTAGGATATTGGACTGTACCACCAAGGGATGCTCCCCAAGGAAAGATGCAAGTCTGAAATGGAGGTGGCTGGAAAGAGAAGCCACAGTTGATCCAAGCAACAGTAATGGAAGGCTGGAGCTACCCAAGCACACTGTGCCTAGATAATGTTACCATGAGCCCCAGATGCAGGACATGGAGCTGCAGGGTTTTTTACTTGTCCTGCTTGGTTTAATCTTGCTTTAGTCTGGTCTGTCCTTGGTATTTGCTCATTCTTCCTCTTCATATGTGAATATTTGCTCTATACCACATTATATTTGAAGCCTACAATAAGTACTCTCAGTTAAGAGATTGGCCTCCACTCAGAAGAGACATTAGACTTTTCAACAGTGATGAAACTGTTATGACTTAGGGTACTTTTAAAGATGAACTTAATGCATTTTGCATTATGGCATGGCCATGAGCCTTTGAGGACAGGGAAGGGGGTGTTTGAAATCTTATGAATTAAAAGTGAAGTGTTTGCGTGTCAGGTTGCCAAGCAGTAGACTTGTGATGGTTGAATCGTCATCATCTACTTTTCTGGATTTAGAACCACACATCTAAGTGTGTCTGTGACTGAGAAAGGAAGACCCAACTTGAATGTGGGTAGAGTCATTGCATACACTGGGGACTCAAACTGAATAAAAGGTGAAAATGGCTAAGGTCAGATGAGTGCCTTCTGATCCTCCAGGCTGTGAGCAGGGCAGTTTCAAGCCCCCCGCCACTGTGGCATTCTCACCATTGGGGACCTTAAACAGTGCACCAAAATCAATCTTGCCTTCCTAAAGTTGCTTTAGCCTAGTAATTTGTCATAGTAACCTGAAACATAATTAATAATCAGGCCTCACGTTGCAGTCACTTGACTGACTCCGGCTTTCCCAGCGTCACCCAGGGGTAAAGGGCAAGACCAGGGTTCACATTTGTGGTCTCTACTCCGAGCAGCTTAAATGAGATGAGCAGCAAAACCCTTCTGATCTCTGGCTCCTAGAATGATATCCCAGATGAGGTCCAAAGCTGCTCATTGGCCCCCTTGGCCTACCGTCAGGTTGACCTTCACCTAAGTGATCTGAGAAGAATGCTCCACACGCTGAACCAACCTCTCAGTCTGGGAGCTCTGATTCTTGGCCTGTCGGGGCCTATTTCTTTTCCCCCTTTGTCCCTTATCCTTCTCCCCCTTGCTCCCCTGTTTGCCTATCAGAACCAATCCCCATTTCTGCCATCCCCAAAATGTAATTGAAAGAGACTTAATGGCCTCCAAATGATGATAGCTCCATAAACCGATTAAAAGGCTTTTAATAAAACTGTTTGAAGCTATTCTTCACGGCTGCAGGCGGTGCCCTTTGTTTCCTCATGATTCCAATAAGAACTCAGGGTGATTTTTCTTCAGTGTGGGGCTACAAGCCCAACAAGGCCTGGTTTTGTCTGTCTGACTGCTCATTCTATGTTTTTCTCCTCCCAGACTATCCACGTGGCCATTGTCTGTGCCGGTTATAATGCCAGCCGAGATGTTGTCACCTTGGTCAAGTCGGTCCTCTTTCACAGGTAAGGTCAGCTTTCACTTGTACACTGCTGGCTGTGTATTTCCCTGACTCCTGGGAAGGTTATATAACAGCAGACTTTCTCATCCATCATTCAAACGGTCATGAAAATGTAATTTTTGTTCCAAATCTGAGGAAGGATATTGTGTTTAGAATGTTTAGTAGCAGTGTTGCCTGGCCATGTTTAGATTTGTAGCTCTCAGAACTACAGGAGCATTCAAGGACACCCCAAATTAGTGCTTCAGTTTCAGCCTCGGCCCCTGCTGCCCAGTACTCCACAGATCTTCATCTGTACCCATGTTGGCAGGTTGTGATACAGGCTGTGTTATAGCCCACTCAAAATTCAGTTTGAAACCCTAACCCCTGGTTCTTTAAAATAGGCTCTTTGTAGGTAAAGCTTTTAAAAGAGATGATTAAATTAATGTAGGGACACTAATCCAATGTGACTGGTGTCTTTAAAAATTAGATTAAGGTACAGATACATTCAGAAGAAAGGCTGGGGCGATACACCAAGAAGACGGTCTGAAAGCCAAGGAGCTTGGTCTTAAAATATCTGAGTTCCACCATTTAGAACTCTGGAAAAATAAATGTGTGTTTTCAGTCATCCAATCTGTGTTAGCTAGCTATGGGACTGTCCTCCACAAAGAAAATAAAATAGTATCTCAGTGTGACCTGTCTCCTCTCTGGGCACTTCTAACAGTACAGAACGTTAAGTTCTTGCTTTACATTAAGCCAAAAATGAGTATGTATAGATGGTATCTGATAGGTCTTATGGGTCCCCATGAAACCAGTCAGAAGATTGGCTCTCTCCCACTTGGAAGTGAAAATAACTCTCCTGTCATCCCTTTTCTGTGTCTCCTCCACTCCAACCCCCTGTGCTCCTGCTTTCTCCTGGAACTTTTCTTCCCCTCCTGATTTGGGTTTATATCTAGACATACTGAGAAGCCATGTCCAGAACCGAGCCTGCACTTCCAGCCAGTACCTTTGGCTCTGCTCTATCTTCTCATCGGGTGCTTGAATAAAGTTCATCTCTAGGCATAGCCAATAACATAGAAAGGTATGGGTTGACCGAGTCAGGATCCAGAATGTCCCCAGCAGAAGAAGCAATCTTAAAAAGTCCTCAGTTCCTCTAAACAGAATTCAGGGTCAAGTCACACAGCTGAATACAGCACTCAGCATCCTAAGCAGAGACGCAAGCCCACCAATCCTGGAAGAACACAGAACTTGTTTTTGCATCTACTTCTTGCCCGTTTTCCCACCCGTTCTGCCTCTCACCGGTACTTCCCCTCTCCGCCTTAGAGATCTTTCAGGTCCTCCTCTTCCTCTCTATCCCACTCAAGTCCACCTGCCACTAACCTATACATTTCCTTCCCCCAGATTTTGGCTATTCACATCCATTGTTTCTGACTCCAGCATGATAATATCAGAGAGGAAATTCTGATCTTGTGAAATCTACCCACGGCATCATCAGAGAGAGGCTAGAACTTAATTGGCCCGCACATGGCTGTCAGTGGCCAATGCTGTTCTCCCTTATGTTTTCTATCCTCATGTTGCAGTGATGTCATGCCCCACCAGTCTGGCCTCTTGTAGCTCCCCACTCTCCATCATGTGCCCTGCTACTCCATCTGCCCCCTTTTTCCCCACTTCCAAACCAGCAATCACCCTCTTACCTTACAAGATTTCACATGGGAGCCTCCTCTCACCAGAAGCCCCCCTGCAGCTCTCAGTGCGGGTTCTCTCCAGCTTTTCTTCTACTACCCGTGCTACCTACTTACCTTTCTGTAATGTTTATTATGTTGATTGCCGTCTACATATCCGTGACATACCCTCTGTAGCAGAGTATGGGCCTCTGGGGGACAGAAACTCTATCTTATTTCTGTATCCCTCATATTTAGAAAGCTACCAGCTAGTAAATGTTCATTTATTTAGCAGGTGCGGCTGGGGGAGTCTTTTAGTAAGGAACCTGAAGATATATTTTTTTAATCATTTAGCTAAAATACCAGCGCAGCTTAGTTTCATTTCACATTCATGTCACTGGAGCACTGAGAGACCTTCAGCAAGTCACTTTAAGTTTTTGTTTGCTCTCCCAGTTAGTTTCTGCTAGGGAATCAGTTCACTCCAAAACTGACTTGGTCTTCAATAATGTTTATTCATGACTGAACTCTGCTATGTGTCTTTCTCGCTAGGTTCCCTTACAGTCAGTGCCCTCCAGCATCAAGGACTAGGTAGAAAGGGAGCAACAAACAAAAATGTGACCATATCAGCCTCAGGGCCTGGCTCTCCTCTCCTCACATACGCCTCACTCAGACCAGCTTGAGCTGTGATTTTTGTTTTACGTTGGAAGAGAACATGGGGCAGTCAGGCAAAACATGACTGAGACTTCTGATTTGAAGCCAGATGACCTTTCCACAGGACCATAGTTGCTGTGTGATTTTGGAGACCTCTTGTAACTCTCCAACCTTCATTTGCTACATGCGGCCAGTTGTGGTGAGAACTAACCATGAGTTAGACAAGAGCTCCTCAGCCTCCTCATTATTACTGGTCTCTGTTAAAGACCTGCATGCCTCCCTGATGATTCCCAAAGCCCATTCTTTTAGGAAAGGATGTCTGTATGATTATAGATATTCAGTCTTTCTATGTCTCAATCAGGATACATTTTAAGATCGGGAAAAGCTAAGATGTTTTTGAACAAAAATTTTCCTCATGTTGCTTTAGCTACAAATCACATAATCAGGTAGTTGTTGAAATTGTAAGAATCCTGTTGAGGATAAACTTTTACTCCCACAGTTGCTGTGCAGCACAAAGATGCTCAGTTTAAAAATAGCAGTTTTATTAGCAGCTGCTGATGATGGCATGCCATCCTTGCATGAAGGCATGACGGTTTGAGAAGAGAACCTGTTATTAAGGTACGTTGTAGATAAAGATTCTGCACACAGTGTCAGTGAGTGCTTTGTCCTCTTGGTCCAGATGTCCACTGGAGTCCCTCCCTCACCTTGAAGCGATACAAACAAGAATGATTTTCAATTGATTCACTGATGATAATGAGTTTGGATACCAAAACAAAAGGACATTTGAAAGACTTTCAACTGTGAAAGTCCAGCTATAAATAGCCTCATTGCTTCCAAAGCACGTTATGGGGATTAACTAAGACATGATTATAAAATACGTTGACAAATGAAGCACCTTTCTCGTGTTAATAGTAATAGCTTAATGGTGGTGCAGAATGCTGCTTTTGGCTTTCCGTGTTAATTACAGTAATTAGATTTATTTTCCAGACAAGACTTTCAGCAGATTTTCACTTAAGGCTTGCTTTGTTATGTCAAATCAATTTTATTTCTGCAATATGCTTAGTGACAGTGAACACGCTGAATTTTCAGACAGAGAATGATATGGCTACTGTTACATACCAGTGTGGCACTCGATAGAGCTCCGTCCTTTTGGAAATAAATTTCAGAATGTATTCCAAAGACCTTCACCCTACATGATCACTATGGAACTCTGTTTTGAAATTTTGCTTATGGTCATAAAATTGGAGAATATGCTAGAACAGTAAGACTAATTGATCAACTCTCATAAGCCACACACACAATTGACTTTAAACATATGTCATGATATAAAATTGCTGAAATAAAATTCAAAACAGAAAGCATGATGTGTCTTCCAATATATAATAAGCATGCGTTTATAGGTATACAATGTCAGAATTCAAGGGATGGAAGACTACTCAACAGTACGTAAAAAATAGAGCTTATTTAAGAATTGTGGTAGAAATAAAGATGATGTTAGTCTTGTTTTCTCTGTTATGTCTTTATGCAACCCTTGTGGTAAAGAAAAAAGACGAATGAGGAGTAAATAAAAAAATGTATGTAACAGAGTTTCATTACTTAGACTAAAATAGCATAATACAGATCTGTATCACCTTGATGGAAAGATATTCAAAGAAAAATTAGGGAACTGCCTATAACTAACTCCATGAACTACAACCCTAATTGCAAATCTTCTGGGAACTGTGACTGCTTTTTCAAGGAAGCCCAGCACTTGGGAAGCAGAAGAAAGAAATATCTATTTACCAACTAAGCAAACGTTTACCTCCTCGGTTGGAAGGTGGATCAACTTGTAAAACGTTAGTATTTGTTGGCTGGGGTGACCTGCTGACTCCCACTCTGCCTTTCTGTTGGCAGGTTGTTTTTAAAAGGAGCAAACAGACTTGCCTCCCTGAGAATAAGAGCACCTTTGTGCCCAATAAGTGCCTCTGATTCGCTTACTGTTGATTCTGTTTTAAACTCGTTGCAGAAGTGATGTCTAGTTTGTGAAAGGGGGCATAGAATTTAACCTCAGCAAGGGAGCCACGCCGGGTCCTGGTTCTGGTTTGGCTTTATCCCTGTGGGAACCGCTGATCCAGGCCGTCACTGTATAACCATGAACACTCACTTCTTCCCCAGGTGCTGCAAGGCCCTATTTGGACCTTGCAAAGATATTCTGCTGTTTACTGATTCAGCAAATACCAATGCCCCCCTCACCCTGCACCAAACTGTCTTCTAAATGTTGTCCGGGTATCAACGTGCCCATTTCTCCTATATGCGCTAGTGGTGCACTCTTTTATTAATCCCCATTTTGCAGACATTACAACTAGATAAGAAGTGATTGACCAAGGCCACATGAAAAGGAAATGGGCAGGGCCAGGTCAGAGCCCAATCTAATTGCTTCAGAGCCTAGATGCTTCATGAGAAGCAAAGAGTTCCCCATTTTTAAGTTACTGTTATTACTGTTGTTTGTAGTTTCTGCCATCATTTTGAGTGGATATTGTAGATCTTGTCATCTTTGCTGCAGTTCCTATCATGCGTTTGAAAACATAGGAGCCTGTAATAAAAGCAGGAGAACTTAGTTTTGTTCTCAGACGTTGGGCTTCACACGGGCCATTGTATTTCAACTTCATCTAACTTCATACAGTGGCTTCCACAATCCCCCTTAATTAACAAGAGAAACTTAGGCTCACAGAAGTGA